CCACTGTGTTCCAAGAAAAATAATCATCATATAGGCAAGTAGCTACCCTTTATATTAGCTATCTCCATTGTGTGTGTGCACATGTGTAAACCAGAGCTTTAAGAACCTCAGCCAGAGTAACTGGCATGTTGCTAATTTGGCTTCAGATGGCCTCCACATTGTAGGTCTTATATCTTAATAATAACGGTAACTGGTTTCACCATGTACTTGGCTGGAGGGGGGTATCACTTGCTCTCTCTGGCTTTCAGTTTCCACATGACGGGGACACCTCTCATGTGGGCTGGGACCTGACACCCATGCTACTGGGCACCTTTGGTTGCTTTCTTATACTTCCTTGTTTCTTTCAGTTTTATTCCCCACAATTGCTCATTATTATAATTGGCAAAAATGCTTGGCTGGATTAAATTTAATGTAATAGACATCGAGTTTCTAGTGGGGACTTAGAACCTTGTTGGGTGCTGAGAACAATTAGTGGGAGAATGCAAATTCTGGGAAATGTGTGGTTCCTTTCTAGCTAATTGTTTTTGAGGGTTCATTATAGCTCAGCTGGCTAAATGCTTTACATAATTTAGTTCCCGTAATGCTTTGACTGTCGTTGAAGAAACCAAGGCATAGGGATGTCAGATTACTTTCTAAATCTTAAAATTAATGCAGAGAAAGAAAGAAAAATCTTATGCTTAGTGGAAGTAGGACTCAAGTCCAACTATGCTGGCTCTAAAGCCCCCACTAACTTACTCTGAAGGCTCTAAGTTCCTCTGTCTTTGACTTTACAAGTTAACATGAGGCAACCACCTAGCGATCACACAGAGATGCATGCATTCACTACATGTGCTCAACTAACTCCTGGGTCCTGCCTCTGCACAAAGCATGCTTCTAAGCGAGAGAGAGGGGTACACAGATGTACAAGAAACATACTTTACTTCTAGGAAGACAGACTGTGGGGGCAGCAAGAGCTGGATACACACAATGACTTTGAGAGCAAGAAAGGAGTGGGAAGGAAAAGGAGAAAGTTGGCTTTCTCAGTTACTCAGAAGCCTTGTTGGTAAGGTAACTTGTCAACTGGGACTTGAAAAAAGGGAATATTTACAGCAAGCAGAGATGGGAGTGAGAAGAGGATCTTCCTAGCAGAGAAAGGGGCAGGAGTCAGAGACAGGAAGAGAGATAGATGAGGAATTTCTCTAGTAATGAGCAGAAGCTTCTCTTGTCAGGACCTGTCAACATCCATTGGGTCCAGAAGGACATTGGTCATTCTGTGTGAGGAGGTGGGGTGCAGGCTTTGGGTCCAGATCCCAGTCCAGCCTTCCTGAATGTGAACGCCCTCATTTGAGGCACAAAGATGAGCATCTTGGATGAGGTGGGAAGCTCTGAGGAAGTAAGAGGATCAAAGTGGCATTGGTAGGGCTGAGAAGTAGGGAAGAACAGAAGCCAGGAACAGTGTTGGAGACCTCACTGCCTTAACATGAATTGTGAAGTCGGGAGCAGTGAAGCAGTGCGAGTGGAGAGGACAAGGTGGAGACTGATGAAGTCCGAGACAGAGGACAGAGGATGAAAACAAAGATGAGAATATATGGTTTCAAACTGGGTGGCTTTCTCAGATGGCAACACAGAACAGAACTGGGTTGGGAGCCTTGCTAATTTGAATGAAAAAAAAAGTCCCCCATAGGCTCAAGTATTTGAACACTTGGTCCCCAGTTAGTGGTGCTGCTTGGTGGAGGTCACAGAAACCCTAGGAGGTATGGCCTTGCTGGAGAAAGTATATCACTAGGGGTGGGTTTTGCCTGTTCATAGCCCCGCTCCACTTCTAGTTTGCTCATTCTGCTTCAAGTTTGCTGTTGAAGATGTGAGCTCTCAGCTTCCTGCTCTAGCCAACATTCCTGCCCCTTGCTGCCATGCCTTCCTCGTCATTACAGACTCTCCTTCTGGTATAAGCAAAATAAACTCTTTAGGTCACAGTGTCTTATCACAGCAACAGAAAAGTGACTAATATAGAAATCTCTTCTAGGACATCCCCTCTCTAGTCTCCTGCCAGGGGAATGGGTAAGTTTACTCTTGAGAGAGAGGTTCAGAGACAGATGATAACTCCAAAGAGAACCACGGTGGGGTAGCAGAACGAAAGAAGTTACTCCTAGGTGAGGAGGCGCAGGACTACATGTGTGTCCAAATCTGTGGAAGAAGCTTTGAGATGGTGAAGGGTTAAATGCAAATGGTACAGAGCTCTCTGGAAGGGTGAAGACTGAAAACCAGTTCTTGGGATCAGTATTTAGGACACGATGCTCTTTGGGGAGACTGTCTCAGCAGTAAAGTGTCTTGGCTGATACATGATGGGAGTTGTCAGGCTGAAGAGCAGACCATGGAGAGGGAGGTGCAAGTGCCACACAGAGATATGAGGGAAATACAGATAAGAAGATGGCAGTCAGGCAAGAGCAGAGGCCTGGGGGCCTTCATTCAACAGAAGATTTTTTAAAGCATTTAGAAGAACTTGCACCATGGCAACCAAAGAAGAAAACTGGAATGTCAGAGGGGCAGCCCTAGAAAGCAAGGTGGTGAGTGCTTAGGGCCAGAGATAGAGTGATGAAGGATAGGAGAGTCTGATGGGTCATGGTCATCCAATCTCTGCAGGGTGGCCTAGAACTCACAGGTACCCAAGTCGGGAAATACTCGGCTCCCACAGGTTGCTTCTAATACAGAGGCATCAGTACCTCTTCGTATGTAGTTGGCCAACTTTCCATCATTGAGTTCCCTGTGGACTCATTCCAGCTATTTGTACACTCCCCCAATTTTCCTTTTTCTCTTTAAGTTTCAGTAGTGGGCTCAAGAACACCTTGTCTGAGACTCCCCAAGAAAGACACAGGTGGGTGAATCTGCTAAAGCCCTTCCAAGACCCCACCAACATTTAGGTCTGGCCACTCAGGAGGCCCCATGCAAGAGGGTGCCCCCTTTCAGAAGAGCCACCTCTCCTTTAACACTGTACTGTCATAGTGCTGGAATTCTTGGTGATTGGACAAGGCCCTCAGGTTCACATTCTGTAGACTGTACAGCTGGCTGGGTCCCTGGTCTTTTCTTTCCTACCCTAGGAATATACCTATTTTTGGAAGTGCTCTAGGAGGTTCCATCCCACATCAGAAGGCCACCTCCTCCCCCAGGGGCAAGCCCCATGGTCCCATCCTGTGGGTCCTTCCTTTTCCCTAAGGCTCCTGACAGGTGGAGTTGTGCTCTTTCCTAGAGCTCCAGAGCTTGACATCCAGCCATGACTCGAGTTTTCTTGACTGAGCTAGCACAGATTTGACCTGATGGAGTTGCTCAACCAATCCAATGCCAGGCCCTGCAGGTCCCAAGTCTCTCTTGGCATTACCCATTACAGAATTGATGGAGGACATCCCACTTGTATCCTTTCACTTTCTCCGTGCTCTCGCCCCACCCTCTTAGTCACCAGTCATTTGTGCTTGTCTTTTGCACGTGAGGACTTCACAACTTCCTGTTCGCTTGTAAAGTCCTAGACTAGGGAAGCCAGATACACATGTAGGCCGTGGGAACCACGCGGGACTTGCCGCGATTGAGTTTCCTGACCTAGAGAGAGGCCTCAGGTTCCTCCACACTCTTCACTTGTTTCCAACTGCAGAAGTAGCGGCGCTCCAACTTCTTTGGCGTGGTTTAGAGTTCAGCAGCGCCTCCTCCTGGCGCTTTGGTGGGAATAACAGCCGCTGAAAGTAGGCAAGGGCCGGTGTGCTGTGTGTGTGTGTGTGTGTGTGTGTGTGTGTGTGTGTGTGTGTGTGGGGGGGGGGGGTTAGTCTTTCTCCGGCTTTGTGCTGAAAGTAGGCAAGGGCCGGTGTGCTGTGTGTGTGTGTGTGTGTGTGTGTGTGTGTGTGTCGGGGAGGGGTGTTAGTCGTTCTCCGGCTTTGATTTGCATCCAGTCCTCCACATTCTGGTAAGTGTGTAAGCAGATAAGGTCACGGCAAGGCTACCTGTTCCTCTTCCTCCTCTCTGCCCCTCCCAGCAGCTGCTGTCCATCATGTGCACAAGACTGCCCCCTTTAATGCCCTTTGTGAACAAGTCTCTTGTACTGACATAGGTATCTGTCATTTCGGCCTCTTAACGAAATGATCACCTCAAGAAACCCAAGTGGGATAAATTGGATCCCACAGCACCTCCCTGCGGCGGCTCCCAGCCAACTTCATTAGGGAATGCTAGATGGAAAAACAGTTCCAACTAATGCGACACGCCCGCCCCCACGGGGTTCGGCAGGAATTGGCTTGCCACCACTCAGGAAGAGGGACAGGCTCTCCGAGCCCAGATAGCGCTCCCGCGACTTTCCCACGCAACGAGTTAGGATCTGGTCTCGGCAGTGCCTGCTCAGGAACTGGCGGTCATTGGGCCTTAATCCAAGAGAACTCAGTGCAGAACGCGAGGATCTCTGGCCTTCGACCTAGCGGAGTCTAAGGTCCTCTGGGGCTAAGTCCTCCGTTTGCCTCTGCGGCCAGCCGTCCTGACGCCGCCGTTGGTCTAACTGGCTCGCCTAGAGATGGAGCATGCCTTTGTGGAAATCCGTGTTCTAGTCAGCACCCCGCCCAAGTCCTGTTAATGTCTGGTGGCACCTCCCAGTGTCCTGAAGGTTTCAGGCACCCCTTCACTCGACTCCTTTTTTCTGGTTTCTTCTGAAAGCCCCACTAGCTGGGTCATCCTTCACAGCCTGGTAGCATTTATGGTGATGGGATGTGTTTAAGGGCGTTTAAAAGATTAAGGACAGGCTACCCGCAGGCTACAACCAGACTGTCCGGGGCGGGAACTGTCGCCTTGCTGTCACGGTGCCGTTCTTCGGTGGCGCCTGCCGGCCCCGCCCGAGGACCTCCCTGAGCCCTGGCCGGGTTTACTCATCCCGCCGAGGTGATCCCAGGCGCGAGGGCGGGCGCAAGGCGACCGGAGAACCCAGTAATCCGAGAATGCAGCATCAGCCCTTCCCACCAGGCACTTCCTTCCTTTTCCCGAACGTCCAGAGAGGGAGGGCTGCGCATTTATAAACTCGAGCCGCGGCGAGCGACATGTCAGAGGCTGCCTCGCCAGGGCTGCGCTCCTGGGCCTGAAACATCTGGCTTGCGACCAACCCTAGCCTCAGGACCAGCAGTTCCTGGAGCCCCTTCTGCTCCAGCAACCCCGGTGCCTGCCCCGACGCGGCGCCCGCTCTTTGCCCGGGTGCTTGCACACAGCACCCCGGGACAAACATGCTCGGAGTTCTTCTCCTCGGCGTGCTGGCTCCAGTCGGCCTGGGGATCCCCGCACCAGCAGAACTGCAATCCAGTGGCAGCCAGTGCGTCGAGCACGAGTGCTTCGCGCTTTTCCGGGGCCCGGTGACCTTCCTAGCTGCCAGCCGGGCCTGCGAGAGCCTGCAAGGACACCTGATGACAGTGCGCTCCTCGGTGGCAGCTGATGTCATCTCCCTTCTGCTGAGTGGCGACAGCAGCACGAACCCACACCTCTGGATCGGTCTGCAGCTCCCGCAGGGCTGCGGCGACACCGGGCATCTCGGGCCCCTGCGTGGCTTCCAGTGGGTTACTGGCGACAACCACACCAGCTACAGCAGGTGGGCGCGGCTCGACGGCGACACGGCTCCACATTGCGGCCCGCTCTGCGTCACTGTCTCTGCGGCTACAGCCGCTGCGCCCGGCGAGCCCGCCTGGGAGGAGCAGCAGTGCGAGACTGAGGCCGACGGCTTCCTCTGCGAGTTCCACTTCGAAGCCTCTTGCAGGCCGCTGGTGATGGATCGCTGGACCCCGGATGCCTCCCTCTTCTCCAGCACCTACACCACTCCTTTCGGGGCTCGCGACGCGGACTTCCAGGCGCTGCCAGTGGGCAGCTCCGCTGAGGTGGCGCCCCTCGGCTTGGAGCTGGTGTGCACTGCGCCTCCTGGAGCTGCGGAGGGGCACTGGGCTCGAGAGGAGTGGGGAGCTTGGGACTGCAACGTGGAGAAAGGCGGCTGTGAGTACATGTGCAACCTGACCGCAGGTGTGTCCAGCTGCCTCTGCCCCGGCGACGGTGTCCTGCAGGCCGACGGACGTTCCTGCACAGCAACCACCGTGCAACCATGCAACGACCTCTGCGAGCACTTCTGCGTCAGCAACCCCGACGTGCCAGGCTCCTACTCTTGTATGTGCGAGACCGGCTACCAACTGGCGGCAGACCAACACCGGTGCGAGGATGTGGACGACTGTAAGCAGGGCCCCAATCCGTGCCCTCAGCTCTGCGTCAACAGAAGGGGTGGCTTCGATTGCCTCTGTTATGATGGCTATGAGCTTGTGGATGGGGAGTGCGTGGAGGCCCTGGACCCGTGCTTCGGGACTAACTGCGAGTACGAGTGTCAGCCCCTGGGCTCCACGGACTACCGTTGCATCTGTGCTGAGGGCTTCGCGCCCAACCCCAAGGAACCACACAAATGTGAAATGTTCTGTAACGAGACCGCATGCCCCGCGGACTGTGATCCCAACAACCCAGACTTATGCCATTGCCCGGAAGGCTACATCCTAGATGATGGTTCCATGTGCTCAGACATTGATGAGTGCGATGCGGATGAATGCTCCCCCAATGAGTGCCGAAACCTTCCTGGCTCATTTGAGTGCATCTGTGGGCCGGACTCAGCCTATCCTGGCCAGGTTCGGGCAGACTGTGACCCCATTCCGGTGAGTGATAGAGAACAGGATGGCGGCTCTGGGGAGCCCCCCGCCAGCCCCATGCCAAACTCCCCGGGGAGTCCCCCGTCCGCGAGGCCAGTGCATTCTGGTGTGCTCATTGGCATCTCGATTGGGAGCCTGTCCCTGGTGGTGGCGCTTTTGGCGCTCCTCTGCCACCTGCGCAAGAAGCAGGGTGCTGCGCGGGCGGAGCTGGAGTACAAGTGCGCGTCACCAGCCAAGGAGGTAGTGCTGCAGCACGTTAGGACTGATCGGACACTGCAGAAACTCTGAGGGGCCTCCCTCCGGGGGCCTCGGCTTGCCCTGGCCTTTCCTCCCTCTCCCGCCCTGGCCCCCCAGCTGTGCTCTCTGGCTAGTCAAAAGCACCCTAGTTGGCCTGACACCAGGAGAAGATCTTCCCCCATTCTTCACTGAGAAGTGTGGGTAGGGAGGATCAGAAGCCTCAGAGCAGAGCTTCTTCCAAGTTACCGCTGGACAAATGGGCGGAGACGTCACATTCACAGTAAAGACCTGAATGCAGTGTCCAGGCCCTCTCCACGGGATGGTGGGCGCTGGTCCGTATCCTCAGAGGCGAACCTTGACCCCGTGGGCTCGAGATGACCCAGCTATTTATTTTTTTTTAACTATTTAGTATTTTCTTCCCTTTGTTTTTTCCCCCTTACCTGTAATTCTCCAGTTATTTCTCCCTCCTTCTCTCCCTCCTCTCTCTCTAATTCACCAGTCCATCTCTTCCTCTCCATATTTTGTCGCTCCAGATGGGCCTACGTGAAACAGAAACAAATACACTAAAAGCAGAACATTTTTTTCCACTGGCTTTGCTAATTTAATCTGAAGTTTCAGGTTTCCAGAGCAAAATAAGTTGAAAAAAATTTAAATGCAACAGCTGATCATTAATTAATTTTGCTGGACTATAACAGAAATTAAACCCAATGAATTTTTTTTAATCTTCAGTTTTGAAACAGTGAACCTGGGTTTTATTATTGTTGCTGTTGTTTGATTTGGACTGGAAAAAAGGGCAATTATTGTTAAGCTTTTTATGCAGGCTCCTATACTGTTGTTATTCAACCTTTGGCAGTGTTGAAAATGTGTAGATGCTCACTTGTCCAGCCTTTGACTTTGCAATAGGACATTGCATCTACAAATGCATTGGGCCATATTTATAGCTATTTTGGGATGCATGTGGCCTATGGGCTAGACCACCAGAGACTGACAGAAGCATCTCCCAGAAAAGTTTTGAGCTCCATGCTTCGTACCAAGCTGACTCTCAACTGTTCTTGCCACTTGTAGTTGAAAATAAAGCAGCTGTACCTCTTAGGGAGACATGGGAACTTGGGACTGGGCAGCCCAGGGGATGCCCAGTTAAGGCCTTGTTTTAGTAGTGAGACTCTTGGAGAGTATCTATTACTTCAGAGGGACCTTCTAGCCCTGGTCATTGGAATGAGGCCTCTGTACAAGGATTGGGCCCTCCTATGGGATCTAGTTAAAATTGCAAAACCCTAAGCTCCACCCCCACCTAGTTCACAAGAAGCTGCATTTTATAAACATCCACAGGGACAGTGTCCAGTCATTTGAGGACAATTGTTCTAGATCGTTTCCAACTTTCTGGAGAACATTAAATAAGGGTCAATAATAAGTAGCAGGCCAAGTTAGGCCATTTAATCTCAAGAAACTGAGGAATTTTCCACTGTACAGCTTTGCTTTCTGGTTTTAAAAAAATGACTAGGTACACACCTCTAGATATTGTCACACAGGGTCCAGAAGAATTTTGGTTCAACTAAGCTAGGAATGAAATCACGCTTCAGAATAAGGAACAAATGTATCATGTGTGTATCTTTTGTAAGGGAAGGCTTTCCTCTACTGGTTTGTAAACTCAACATATTTGTATATAGTTATTTATTTATTAGAGTTCAGCTAGGACACAGGCAATACCCTTGCTTATGATGTCACATGTACAAAATAAACAGATTTTAATGTGCTTCGGACGTCTGTTCCCCTTCCTTTCCCTGGGGCTCCTCATTCTATGCCACTACGTGAAACACACAAACACTGTAAACTCCAGGACATGTTGGCCTGCACCCACCACTTGCTCATGGCACCATCTCTGATTTTCAAAGATCTTTCCAGGGCAAGTTATTTCGACGTAGGACTTCATGTTATCTCTGTATGAACAAATATATATTTTTTTGCTTTCTGTAACCATAACAACCGCATACAGGATGCCTTGTGTCTGTGCTTTCAGACACATTCTCAGATCTGAGGCATCTTTAGATTTCTAGCTTAATGCCATGTTGTTGGTGATTTGGCATTATCTGCTTTCTGAGGTAGAAAACTCAAAGTTCTCATGAAGGTTCTGTGGCTCAAATTCAAGTGTTGCCTCTGAATCCCAAGGTCTCATGTCACCCAGTGTGACATCCTTGCCTCTACTAGTAATGCCAAGCATAGTAGTTATGTCACAGATTTCTTGAACTCTTTTTGTAGAATGGTGCAGCTGGCTAATTTTATATGTAAGAACATGAAATTTTCTTCAAGGCAAACATGAGGAAAAAAAAAAAGTTAAATGTTTGGACAGCCAGGTACATTCTCATTGTTAGCCTGAGCAGTTGTTGTGGTGGACATGGGTAGAGACCGCATTTCAGTGTGTGTGTGTGTGTGTGTGTGTGTGTGTGTGTGTGTGTGTGTGTGTGTTATATGCATGTGTGCTCACCCATGTAGGTATGTGTGAAGGCCAGAGGTGAACACTGAAATGTCTTCCTCAATAGCTTCTCCACTTTAGTATTTTATTTTATTTTATTTTTTTTTTGTGACAGGGACTCTCACTGAATCTCAAACTTGCTCTTTTCAGGTAGACTGCCTGGCCTATGAGCCCCTCTGGATTTGCTTGCCTCCTCCTACTTCCTAGCACGGGGGTTCTAGGCAAGTACCACCATGACAGACTTTTATATTGGTTCTAAGGATCCAAACTCGGGTCCTCATGCCTGTCCAGCAAGCACTTTACCCATTGGGTCTTATCCTCAACCCTAGAAGCAGAAATGTCAGCATTCATCCTAGAGACCTGTGAGAGAGCAAGGTGAGCGTTGTTCCCAGACCCTGTAAGTACAGTGAAGAAAGAGCTTAGGGGTGAGGCCAAATAGGTGCACTCATTGGTACTGGGAATCCAAAGGAGGGAGAAGTGTCCTCATTGCAGCAGGCCACTTTGAGGAGTTTTATAAGGAGCATGCTGGGATTGGAAATTGTTCAGAAAGATAACAGACACTTCTGGACTATTTACATGTTCCTAAGAGGAGAAACGTACAGTGTCCCCTGTAAGTGGCCAGCAGAACTATCATGCGACGGTAGGGATATCACAGACTCCTTGGCCTGATCCCAGCTTGAAACTTGGGATTACATAACCACAGACACCATGTACCTCTACATTTGAAAAGGGGCGCCAGCAGTGCTACCTTACTATGGTTGCATGAGGAATAGGCAAGGCGAGCAAGCAGTTTCTCGCACATAAGAGGCACCTCATAACTGTTAGCTTATGAGCTACTGAATTAGTGGGTGCTTATGAGGATAAGGGAAAGTTACATTGGAATGGGGAGTGTCATGGGGGCAAATACAAAGTAGTGCAAGTGCAAGAAGCACAAGTTGATTCTTTAAGGCATAAGTTTGTCAGCCTTAGGGGAACTGTAGTCATAGAATCTGGGGTATCAATCACAGCTTAAGGGGGTGGTGTCTGTTATGTGACAGTGACCCCTCAGTAGATGTGGAATACAGCTTCAAGGGCTCTGGTCTACATTCTGCTAAGTCTCATGAAGGAGATCCAGAGACCTCGGCATTGTTCCAAAGAGATCACAGAGAGGAAAGCATACATGTCAACATACACTCCAACAGGGTGAAAGGAGAAACTGACTCCTGCCTAGGCAGAGCTCAGGCCCCCTTGTGGGTGACACTGCAGTGGACATGGCTAGGTGGCAGAGGATTCCCAGTGTCTAACTTTTGAGAGCTCTTGCTTCTGGTTAACTGGTAGTGACACTGTAATATCATCGAGGAAAATTAAAGTTACAAAGAACACACAAAAATACATTTTTATTGTGGTCAAGGCGCTGTGAGAGTGGTACCCAAAGCATCTCCTGACCTTTGTAGGCAGTTCTTCACAGAACACAGGTCACACCCAGATCTGCTTTCTTTCTTTCTGGAATGAGTGCCCAGTTTAGCACTTTCTTTTTGTTTCAAGTGGGTCCTTCCTCCCTTTTTCTTTTGGTCAGCAGGTTCAGATGTAGGCAAACAACTGATTTCCTGTCTCATGAAAAACTAAATATTGTTTTAGCATCAGATTTTAGCAGAATCAAAATCCTTTTCTTCCTGTGTGCTCACAAAAGACAGAAGAGCCCATGGGATGTGATCCCTCAAAGTCACACCCTCTCGAAATTGGGGACAGATAGAAATTGGGGACAGAAGCAAAGGGCTTCAGAGATCTCATGAAAAGTACCAGGATTCAAAACTGGGGCCTATGACAATGGTACCACCCAGACCAGAGGCCGGAGGTATCTTTAAACCTCTGCCTGAAAGAAATCTGTTTAAATAGGAAGTTACAGGATGTGGAAACTGTCTGGTGGCAGAACCCTGCCTCTTGCCTGCATCTCCCTCAGTGATCTCCTCTCTAGCACGGCCCCACCTGCTACAGCACTTGGTGGAGTGGTGCGAATCCTTGTTTGGCTCACAAGGAAGAGAAGAGCATGGCAAGGGCCTGCCCTCATTCCTCTCCCTCTGCTCTGTCTTCTGCTCTGTTTGGGTTTAGTTCCCTTGAAAACAGAACCTTCCCTTCTACAAATGCCCTTTGGGCTGGGTGGTTTGCATAGCAGGAGCCCCTCCCCCACTTTAAGACTGTGTTATCAGAAGATAGGAGTCTGGTAAGCACCTATTGGGATTTCCAGGTTCTTGTGAAACAAGAAACTGGACAGGGACAAGTAGATAACAGCAGAAGCAGGGATCATTTATTAGAGAGGAACGCACTTTCATGAGAGAAGTGGGCCAGATCTGGGAGAAAGGTCAGAAACTCAATGGTGCCCATGCTCCACAGACTGGAGCTTTTACAGGCCATTTGTATACTGTCAGTCTCTATCAGTTACATATCAGCCTTGGTAGAGAGGGCTTTGCATCTTCTGCTTTTTTTTTTTTTTTCATACGCTAATTTTGACTTCCTTCTCGGTTGGTCCTGCTCCCCAGTCAGAAGGGTGCTATAAATGGCAAACCAGTTCATTTGGTCTGGGATCCTCCAGAACACAGGGCAGCCATATCGGCCTTATAGACAACAAGAAGCTGACAAACAGAGTGACTGACACAAACCTAGCACAGGCTCTCTGCAGTCTGGCAATTAGCAGGCAATGGCATATTGTAGTAGAGGCAGTCTTGGCACTGAAGGACACTTGGGGACACAAACTTGACTGGACAGACCTTAATATATATGACAGAGTACAGGAAATCCAATGGGGTGGCAATAAGATGGGTGCAGACAGGGGAAGAGGGTCTAGATATGATCAAAATATACTGTATGAAATGTGCAAAAATTCAGCTAAAAAAGGGTAAATCTCACTGTTCTCCTAGGTAAAGAAAACTGGGGTCCCTGGCTCCCAGAGAGCCACATCCTTTCTCTGGTACACGAAGGGTTACATGATCAGTAGGGAATTCCCAATTTTTCCAGGGGCATATTCAAAGTCCCAGTTTCTCCAGGAGACTTTGGAAGACCAGAACACTTCATATTCCTTTCCTGAATAATGTGTGTGTGTGTGTGTGTGTGTGTGTGTGTGTGTGTGTGTGTTGCTGGGAATGAAACCCAGGGCCTTGCACATGCTCAGAAGGCATTCTACCATTGAGCTACACTTCCAGCCACCTGCAAAGGTCTTATTTCAGTTTAGAATTGAATCATACTTTCATTTCTATGATTATTTGATTAATGCCTAACTTTGACAATAACTTTCAAGTTCTATAAGGGTGATGACGGACCTTTTTGTCTGGAAGCTGGTTGCATCACCTGAGAGACACTCTCAGCATACTGTCAGTGAGTACATCTCCCTGCACGTGGACCTACAGAGTTTTGGGGTGTGGTACTGACTAACACAGTAGAGCTGTCTCAGCAAAGACAGCCTTGGGATTCTGACATTCGTGATTACAGAATTCAAGGCTGTGCTTTCATCCTCTTGGGATAAGAGAGTGAGATATGGGGGTGATTCACACCTTATGACATATCAGATAAGTGTTTCAAGGCCCAGATTTGCTGGGATTCATGTCTGAGTTCTGTGGTAGCGGACAAAATATATGATGATTGGTTGATTCTTGCATCAGTCTTTAAAACGTAAGGCATGCCATTCTGATGGTTTTAGTGGAAGTAAAGCATGGTATTTCAAGATGCTCACGAAAGCAGCATGTGCCTTCAGTCAGAGACATGGTGCTGGCTTACTGGGCAGGAACTCTGACATGTGCTCCTCTCATGTCCAAATAACATCTGCCTCACCATCTGGAAAAGCTACACCTGCTTGTGACCATACAGTAAATAACAGGCAATTTAAAAACAGAATCAAATTCTCTAAAGGACTGAGTGGTGGTCAAAAGCTGTTTCTGTCCAGGGAAAAAATGTTTCCATTCACACTGAAGTCCGAACGTGATTTCCAGTCCCAGCAAGCACAGCAAGCAAAGCGGTCAAATTGTCCCTCCACTGTGACCTCCCAGGTAGCTGAGACGTATGTTGTAAGGGGACTTGGGGACCCTGGTGGTATGACTCACTGACTTCAATCCTCTCTGGTTTTCTTCATACAAACCATCAGGGAGGGTTTTATGAATCTAGCTATTATAAAGACTTAAGGGTTGACACTACTAAGTAAGAGCATCTTAACACATCCCAGGATGAACCCTTGGCCTGCTTGACTGTTGTAGCATTGTTTAGCCTGAGAACTACAAAGGGCTCTGCAGCTAAAGGAGAAAGCAGTCATCAGGAACCCTCTCTGTCCCGTAGGATTGCTGGGTTATGGTCCGGGCAGTATAAATGCTGATGGCTTCCAAGTGACAGGGGAGGGCTAAGCACAGAAGAGTGTTGCTCTCCTCATTGCTAACACATCTCTCCCGGGGCTTCAAAACAGAATTACATCTTGTAAGAACTCATAACTCAAAACCTCCCTTTGTAAATATGCCAAGTATGAACTGAGGCAGGAGAGTGGAAACCCTTGCTCACAGGCCAGCTGAGGCAGACCTTCTCTGCTGTCATTGAGGCTTCCCTTGCTTGAAGCTACTTCCCCTCTAATCACCATCAATCCCGGTTAAGAGGTTTCATTTGAAAAATAGGACATGTCTTATTTTAGGCAACTAGGCATGTCTTAATCAGTACCTGTGTGGGCTACCAGAAGGCTGGAAAGAAAGACTTCGGGCCTGCCCAAACCAGGCTAAAAACCTAACACCTCTACCTGCTGGAACCAGTGCCAAGGCCGAAACCCCTCACCTCACTGCTGTTACCCTATGTGGTCCTTGCAGTGAAGTTCAAGCATAGTTATCACGTCTACTCTGCAGATACCAGGGACAGAGAAATAGTTCAGTTATAAAGAAGTTACTGCTGTAACCTGCAAGAAGCTACTGCTGTATAAGAACTGAGGATACTCATTGTGGATGCCCAGGGTGATTGTGAGGAGGAATGACAACTTAGGGATGGTCCCTACATGCGCGTTTTTGTGCATACACGTGTGCCTGTGTGCATACATATTTATGCATGTTGATGGGACCAAAGGGTTCAGGGTCTTATTTAGATATTTTCAACCCACAATCAAGGCCCTAGTGCATGGCAGAGAGCTGGCTACACAGTTCTCTGAGAGATAAGTAAAACTCAACAGATTCATAGACCTTAATGATTTCCACACAATTTTTGCTCATATAGCCCTCTGAGATACCCTGGATCAACAGAGATTGTTGATCTCAGGCCTATAACTAGCTGTAGCTAGCTGACCATTTGGAAAAGGTAAGTATCCAGTTACATGCCCAATGACACTTGACATAAAGCCTTTCTCTTTTCTATTTCAAAGGAAAAATTTCCAGCCCTAGGAAAAAGGTATGAGGTTAGACCTTTCAGAATCACTAGGTAGGTCTGGGGATATAGCTCAGTTAGTAGAGTACCTGACTGGTCAGCATGAGTTTTATCCCCAGCACAGCAAACACTAGGTTTGGTGTCACACACCAGCTACCCCAGCATGCAGGAAGTAGAAGTAGGAGACTCAGAAATTCAAGGTCATCCTCAGCTACTATATAGTGAGTGTGAGGTTAGCCAGTATTACAGGAGACCTTGTCTCAAACAACAACAACAACAACAACAACAAAAACAACAATAACAACAACAACAACAAAAAACCCAGCAGCAACAAGAAAAGACACCATGCTACAAGGACCTGTTGATTTTCCAGGCAAAATTTCTGATGACCTGGGCTGAGTCCCCTGCTTGGGCTATGAGACACTTGTACTGGGACTAGAATTCAGCCTTCTTGTCTGTTTCTCATATACCTTCCAGTTGTTCCTGTCACATAAAGCCCTGGCTCTGGGCAAACAGCCCAAGGAAGGCCATCTCCTGTTCGTCCCAGGCTCTCAGAGAGGCACCGTGACCCATTTGGCTGCAGGGCATCCCCTTAGATGTCATCCTGCCCCTTGGCCCTGTCTGGATTCCCATTAGCCTCCCAGGAGCAGTACCCATCTTAGAACTTGTGCCAGCTGCCCTCAAAGACTCAGACCTGCTCATGAGACTAGGGTGTTTTTTCTTGAAGATGCTCTGCCAGGCAGCTGTGGGAGTTGCACACCTGCCTGTTCTGGTCTTCTGTCGATCTCTCCTGGCTTATCTTCCTGGTTCTATCAGCACTGGGTCAGAGGAGCTCAGCAGGATACTTTGCTGTATGGAGCTTGGTGGTGATGCTCTTTAATGGGATGCAGAATTCGCTCAGTCCCCTCCACTGGCTTAGCAGAAGTAAATAAAGCTCTTAGAAACTGCTCTTCCTCCCGGCTATGGTTAACTTACCAGGTACACACAGGGATGGCCTTTCATTGTGTTCAGCATCTGATGTGAAAACACAGTATGGCTTCGTTCCACTCTAGCTCTCTGAACTTTTCCTAACCCATCCCACTACTGTGGCATAACTTGGGACTGTAATGAAGTTTCATGTTCTCATAGACAAGGATGGAGTTGAAAAAAATCACCACAAATGAGATTTACTCTCTGCATTTTTATTCCTGACCAGGACTTTCATGCCTTACAACAACCCCCATGTCATGTCTCTATAAACTTTTCCCATTCACAGGAAGTGAACAACCAGGAGACACTTGTGGGGTAAAAAGCACACGTCCACTGCTGTTGCACAAACATCGCACTTAGCAATGACAGCCTGGCACAGACACAGAGGGAATATACTTGGAGGTGTCCTCTCTCCTCCCGTCTCACCTTGCACACTGCCCTCCCATCATTAGGCAAAGAGCCCGCAGACGGCAGGGCCCTCCCACCATAAGGCAAAGAGTTCAGGGCTCTCTCAAGCAGTCACTGTGACAAATCACATAAGGGTGATCATTCCTCTCTGGCCCTCACTTGTTTCCCACCCCTTAAAAAATCACCAGAGGCATCCTATCCCAGTTCCCAGAAGAGTCCTACCCTCATGGAGGTGTCCTTTGAGCGAGTCCTGGGAGAGGGGATAGCAGGAGTCCTGGGGCTCCTGAGGACAGCATACAAACTGCTAGAAGGGGCTAGTTTGGTGGAAATGCGAGTTGTCCTTGAAGTTGCTGGGCTGTGAAGGGTGGTGCAAACCTGTGGAGAAGGTGAAAAGGATTTTCAGAAAGTAGTGGTCTTGGTGAGAGGGATTTGCTTGCCACCAGGTTCTGTTTGCATGTGTTCCTGCTGGCAGGGCAGTGTGGGGCATATGCATCCGGCACCCCCTCTACTCTTGAGAGCAGTTGCATAATAGTCCAGGGGCTCTTCCTCAGCACCTGCAGCAGCATCCAGGAGACAGCAGCGCAGGCAGAGAACCCGCTGGAAAGAGCGCCGGAAGTTGTCAGAGAGGAAGCCATAGAGAATGGGGTTGGCACAGCTGTTGGCATAGCTGAGGATCAGGGACACATGGTTGACTGTGGCATCCAGGCTGGTGACAAACAGATTCAGCAGCTGAACTACATAGAAGGGCATCCAGCACAGCACAAAGACGGCCACCACCATCAGCACCAGCCTCGTGATCTTCTTTTCTGAGCGCCTCCGCTGCTGCCAGCCAGCCCGAAGGGCCACAGCACGCATCTTGCCGACGATGAGCAGGTAACACAGGCCGATGGCCAGAACCGGGAGCAGGAAGCCCAGCAGGAAAGTGTAGACCACGAAGACTGCAGACCAGGCCGGGTGAGGCCAGTGCAGGTTGCAAGCCACCGCCTCACCGCCGCGGGCAGGCTTAGTGTCCGCGAAGACGGCTATGGGCAGGGTGACCAGCAAGGATGCCAGCCACACTCCCAGGTTGATGAGCTTGGCCACGCTGGGCCGCCGGTAGGTGGCGGCACGCAGAGGGTGCACCACCGCCACGTAGCGGTCCACGCTGAGCACGGTGAGGCAGAAGACACTAGTGAACATGTTGAGACCGTCCACGCTGAGGACAGCGCGGCACAGCACCGCCCCGAAGGGCCAGTGGCGCAGGGCAGCGGCCGTGGCCACGAAGGGCACGCTCAGCATGAAGAGTTCATCGGCGACGGCCAGGTTGAGCAGGTAGATGTTGGTGGCCGTCTTCATCTTGGCATAGCGTAGGATCACGAAGATAACCAGGGCGTTGCCCACCAGGCCCACCAGACACACGAGCGCGTAGATGCACTGGATGGTGACCATGCCCGCGGTCCCCGTCCTGTCGGACCTCACCACCTCCTCTTCCTCCTCCGGAGCGCGGCTGGCGTTGGTCGTGGGGGGCCAGGCGGTGTCCAGCCCCTCCTCTCCCCCGGGGGGCAGCGTCGCGGGGGCGCTCATGCCTCAGGGTGCCCACCCCGGACGGCGGAGCGCGGCGGAGCAGCTGAGCCCAGCGCTAGGGATCCGGTGGCGGGCCGGGATCTCGAGCAGATGCGCGGATCAGCCGCTGCGCCTAAGTAGAGCGCGGGGCCGGGACGCGCCCGCCAATCCCCGCGCCGCCACGCGCCCCTCGGCTGCGGGAGCCAGGCTTGCCCTGCGCGCGCCCCTCCGCGCGCCCGTTCCCGGTGCCGCTTGCCCCGCCCGCAGAGATCTCCGCTCCTCGCCCGCTTTTCGCCCCCGCCAGCTTCGCCCAGACTCCGAAACTCTAGCGCAGATCCGGGTCCCGCGGTGGCCCTGCGGGGCGTCTCTCAGTGCTCGGGCGGGGTGTGTGTGTGTGTGTGTGTGTGTGTGTGTGTGTGGCTCAGATCGCACCCTTCCTCGGCCCTTTTAGTCCACTCCTGCTTTGCTCTTGGGGACCTGCTAGAGGCCATTGGCTCTTTGGGTATCTAGGTATCCCTGAGTTGCCCCAGATCGCTCACAAGGCTCAGAGTCTTCTGCTCTGCACCTGTCATCCCTTTGATTTTTCAGGAAGTCCTAGCTCATCTTTGAACTCTGTCCAGGAGGAAGAACCAGAGCCTCCTTACAGACACCCTGGTGAAATTCACGTCTGTCTGAGGTGGAGGTGGGGTTCTGGGGAGACGTGTGTCTTGATTTTCCCCCTTTCTCTGGCAGCAACGAAAGCAGATCCCCTGGATCTCTTCTGTTACAGTTGTGTGGAATTTAGATCTAGTGAGAGCAGGAAATGAAGAGGTATACAGAGAGGCAGAGACACCTCCCAAAGAAAACCAAACTCGGGCCAGTGAGATGGCTCAGCCAGTAAGGGTGCTTTGACTAAGGATCTCAGGACCCACACAATGGAAGGAGAGAATTCTGACCTCCACACTCAGCTGTGTCAGGAATGCCTCCCCACCCTATAAAGAAACAAGAAAATTATATATATATATATATATATATATATATATATATATATTTCTGCCCCCCCCCCCCCCAGGTACTTAGTACCCAAGTCCACTGGTAAGATGCATGAGAACTCCCACTTTGAAGCCACAATGCTCCTGGGGATGAGGGCGGCCATCCTAGTCTGAGTCTCCCCTGCCTCCAAACTCCAAACTAGTTCTGTGAAATTGTTTAAATGGAGTTTGTCTTGGAAATTTAATCTCAGAGGAAAGCTGATGCTGAGGAGCCTGGATTGGTTTCCCCAACCTCTGCGGTCAGTATGTAGAAGTGACTCCCTGGTCGCCTGGGGAGGTGGGAACTCCGAAGTCCCTTGCTAGATGGTTGGGACAGATGAACAGGGGCCAGGGCCAGGTGCTTCAGTTCCCCTGGATGTGGTCCTAAGAGAAGGGACTGGAGGCTGTGTGTTCCAGGTTGGACTGGGAACACAGGCCTGGTTAGTGCTGGGCAACAGAAGGGTTGACCCTAAACCTTGTCTCTGGCTTCTGTCACCCAAATGGGTCCACTGAAACGTGGCCTGGAAGTCCTCCACTCCTTTGTGGCCACTCCTTATACATGTCTGTCCTTTCCTCTGGTCTCATTCCCATCATTGGCCCTGTGGGAGACCTGTATCCTTACCTTAGGAAGAGAACCGACAGTGCAAGTGTTTAAGGCTTCTTTCACTGTTGATTATAAGCTTTATTGCACTGTGGTCTGAAAGAGAGCATGGGATTATTTCAATTTCTTTGTATTTGTTGTTTTGTGTCCCCAGAATGTGGTCAATTTTAGAATAACTCGCATGAGCTGCTGAGTAGAAAGTGTATTCTTTGGTGGTTGGGTGGAATATTCTGTATATATCTGTTAGGTTCATTTCATGTAGTATGCCATTTAATTCAGACATCTCTCTGTTTATTCTTTGTCCAGTTGACCTGTCTATTGAAGAAAGTGGGATATTAAAGTTGCCCACAATCACTGAGTTGGTGTCAATCTCTGTTTTACACTCCTGGACTACTGATTTTATGAAATTGTGTGTTCCTGAGTTTGGTGCATAAATGTTCATGATTGTAATATCTTCTTGGTTGAAGGAGACAAGGTTCAACTTGGGTGGAAAGAGGAGCATAGGTGCTTTCCCCCTAACTCTGGACTACGCAGAGACCCTGAAATGGCTTTTCTGCAGATTGGCTCTGGGTATAGTGCAGGGGTGCTGTCCTACCTCCTTGGCCTCCTGGGTTCTGCTCTCCTCGTACCCTTTGAACATTCAGCACTCTCTCTTCCTGGAAGTCGGTCCTGCTCTCCTGCCTCACACATAAGCCATTGGAATCTTCCCAATTCTTCCTCAGAGTTTTCCCTTGGCACTTCCTGCTCCCTTACCTCCATGCCTCAGACTCTGAGCAGGGCTCAGGAGTGAGGTCCAGGGCCTGGTGAGGCATGTTAAGCTTTTAAAAGTTATTCCAATGAAGGTGAATTTCAGTTGATGCCAAGAGCCCCTGCACTCAGCACAGCACTGTAGCCATAGTAAAATCTGGTGTGGGTGAGAAACTGGAGCCTAGGAAATTCAGGTCTGTTGTGGTCTGAATGGGAAATGCCTCTCACAGGCTGGTGGCACTCCTTTGATAGGAGGCAGAAATTTTGGGATGGAGACAGAGCTTAAGTAGGTCCCTGAGGGCATGTCTTTGGAAGGTTATACTTGGATCTTGTCTTTTCTTGTCTCTCTGCTTCCTGTTTGCCAAGGAGTGAGTAGCCTGTGCCTCATGCTCCAGCCACCATGATGTTCTGCCTCACCAGAGAATCAGTGGAAAAAGGACTGTGGACTGAAATTCCTCAAGCCACAAGTCACAAATCTTTCCTGCCTTAACTTGTTCATGGCAGGTATTTGATCACAGTGATGCAAAAGAAACCAACATGAGGTCTGATGTGGCCATAGTTCCCCAAAGTCAAGATACAAGCCCTGAAGCTGAGGGTCTGTGGGCTTTGATTCTACTGATGGGTCCGTGTGAAAGATGAATCATCTTCAAATTCTGGGTGTTTATGGAGTAAGTCCCGCATGACATTACTCTGATTCCTAGCTTCACTGTTCACCAGTGAACGACCTTGGGCAACTTATCCAACTTGTCTGTGCAGCCTCACTGTCCTCTGGAAATGCAGTCATACTAGCCCCTTCCCCAGTGGGCTGCTGTGTGGTCTGAGCAGGTGACATACTTGAAGCTGTTCTAAGTGTCTGATGGTGCTAAGCATAGCGGCACATACCTGTAATCCCAACACCTGGAAGATGGAGGCAGAAGAACGAAGAGTTCAAGGCCAGCCTGTACTATATAGTGAACTTGAGATCAGCCTGGGTACCTGAGGCCCAGTGTCATAACAACAACGCAACAATAATGGCATAATAACAACAACAAAAGTGTCTGGCACTGGGGCTGGAGAGATGGCTCAGCAGATGAGAGCACTGACTGCTCTTGCAGAGGACCAGGGTTCGATTCCTAGCACCCATATGGTGGCTAACAACCATCTGTAACTCCAGTTCCGGGGGAATCTGATGCCTTCTTCTGATCCCCACAGGCATTGCATGACACGGGTGCACTTACATGAAGTCAATACACTCATACATATAAAATAAAAATAATAAAATAAAATATTTATTTAAAAAAGTGTCTGGCACTGAGAAACTCTACATGTGTTTATTGCCTTTAGTATTTTTGGCACTTGGTAGTTCAAATTATGAGGCACTGTGCTGATCAGCTGCCTGTTGCTATAGCAAACACCTGAGATAAAGAAAAAAGTTCGTGAAGAACACTGGAAATTCTAATTCATGAACATATGATGAAGAAAAGCAGCTTACATAAGTAGGAGGTGGGGAATGGAGGGTGGTGGGAGGGAGAGAAAGAGAGGTTCACAATCCCCTTGGAGGAGTGCCCCCAATGACTTCGGAGTCTCCTACTTGGCCCTGTCTCTTAAAGGTTCCACCATGTTGAATGAGAGCTGGAAGAAGAACTGGCCACTCTGTTTCTCCAAGATCTAGGAGAACATCCATGCTGAGAAAAAGTGCTGGCAACAAATGTGTTTGTAGTGCTGTTCAGTTCACCCTTCACTCTTTCCTTAGGCCGTGTATACCGGGCTCTGCTTTGTCTGTTAAAGGCCTTACATTAGGCACAATTTTTTTTTTTTTGTACATTATGAGTAATGGAAGCCAAAGCTGGCTGGTTCTGAGGGCTCTTCTACTTCAGGAGGTGAAAAGGCTGCCCACAGGCATAGTGCATCTCAGCTGATGCAGTGGCCAATGGGGTGTCCAGGTCTGGGGCCAAAATGTGGGAGAGCAGGGCCTCATTCCTTGCCAAACTCATTGTTAGAGCTGTAAGTGCCTCACTTTCCTTCCCCATCCTTCCAGTGTAGCCCTTGGGTGGGAGGACCGGCTAGCCCAGGAATCTCAGTCCACAGTCCAGGGGTGCCCCATAGCTCCTCTTTCAGATAGCAGCACCCAGGGGAATACTTGGCCAGCTCCTGAGAGCTACTTCTGTCACCTGCTGATGAGTGAAACAATCTGAAGTGCTTTCAGCCGTTTGCCTTTGCTTCCAGCAGCTCTGCTCAGCTCAAGAGCCTGCTTTAGCTAGCACTAAGTACCTGGCATCTTCAGTAGCGACTCACAGGCACCTCCACCAACAGGTGGAGAAAGCACTTCCAGTTCCACCCAAACTGCATTGACATCCCGGAGTGGGGGATGCTATAGCACTTGCTCCACTCCACAGACTCAATGCTGACACTAAGTGCCTTCCCCAGGCTCCTGGCACAGGCTGAGCATCCTTGATCTCAAATGTGACATCTGTAATGCTCCAGAATCTGAAACTTTTGAGCAAAAGGATGACACCAGTGGGAAATTCCTCATCGTGAGACTGTGTCATGCACAAAAGAAACAAAAATATTGCAATCAATTACTTTCAGATTACGTGGATGATACAAACAAATGAATTTTACATTTATATTTGAGTCCCATCTCCAAGATGGTTCATTATATATATGTAAATATTCACAAATCTGAGACAAGCCCAACTCTGGAAGGCAGCTGTGCTCACCACTATACCACCAACGCCTCACATGACAAGTCCAACTCTGAAACACGTCTGGCCCCAAGCATTGTGGACAAGGGGCAGTAGACCTGC